TAAAAATTAGTATTTGATATCCACAAATCAAGGAGACCCATGTGATGATTAAATTGCAGCTTTGACAACTTATTCATTCTAATAAGTGAGATTTAACATAAAGTTAATACTTGTTTGGTATTGATACTGGGGGCACCTGAATACTACCAGTATTATAGAAAGAAGGAAAAAAAGAAATTACTCTGAAGACTGATTTGAAAATGTTGCTACAGCATGAATAATTTGGATGCTGGTGCAGAGTACTCAGTCCACACAATTGATAACAACACAACTTGGGTTGTGTTATATGTTCTTGACATTGACCCACCCATTTTGTTTGGATATGAAAGATCTAACAAGTACCTTTATATTTTTCATCTCTTTTATAAAATATGACATCTTTTCAGCATGGAACATCACACAATTGAGTGACTTGCATATAGCTAGTGTTCAACAAATATTTATTATTTAGATATTATCTACTGAATATCTTCTCAAACACTAAATGGCATCACTTTTTAGCTCCAATTTTTTTTTCTGAATGACTGAAAATCATCCTAAAATAATTTATGAAAGCTTACTAATTTTACAGATATTCTGATCAAAGAGGGCAAAAATGGTTCAAATCCTGTTATCTGTAATGTTTCTCGCACTTCCTATCCCTGTCATGCCACACTCAGCATAGCTGCTTCCTAAAACCGTCTCTTATGTCTATGATTGAAATACTTCATTGTAAATTAGCATTCTAATTAAATTAGAGTGAGAATAAATATGGACCTAAACTATTTCCTGGAAGGGCTATTCAGTTCTTTTTAATTGGCTCTTTCTGGTAGAAATAGAATGGAAGCTACTTCTGTACTTTCATTTTTTTAGTAGTTCCATTTTCAGAAATGAAAAAGTTGTCTTTGAAATTAATTTTAATAATATTTAGCCCAATATAACTAAAATAATTATTTCAACAGGTAATCATTATAAATTTTCTAATCCTATATTTTACATTTTTTTTTGTACTAGCTTCACAATGAACTATACACAGCACAGTTTGGACTGACTGTGTTGGAAATATTAAACAATGCAGCTCTAGACCTTTCTGCTTACAACTTTGGACATGAACCAAAGTTGATCTATTCAGATAAAGGTAATATTTCAAATTTTCAAAGTTTAAAAACAAACTTTGAGTGTGTTACTGAAAGACAGAGAGCCCTTGTTAACATTAGAAGATTATGTCCTCTCTCCCACACATTCACATCCTTTCCAAATTTCCTATTGATTACTTCCCCAGCATGAAAGAGGCAGGAAACAGGAATATCCTTTCATGGATGTGGTTGCCATCTTGACTGGTGTGGTTAGCACTAAATCCATTAGCATTAATACTCTCCATAAGAAGCTTTGGATAAGTAGCTTTAAAACTCTGGATGATCAACAAAGAAATAGATTTTCTTGGGGGAGGGAGAAATTGTTAGAAGAGTAGACAGGAAGGAGGTGCAGGAGCAGAGTCACTATACACAGAATTGATCCTGAAAAAGTATAGGGATCCACGGCTAATTGGAGTAATTGCCAGGTTTGGGGGAGACAAGCCATCCTTTGGGCCTCATTTTCTTTCTTCTTCCCTCCCTGTCTCTCTTAGACCCACTCAGCATGTGAGTAGTTATTAGAGTTTGACCGGCTATGTCTGCCTCAGAGGCAGTGAATGTGTCCTGGTAACACTAGACTAGATGCTCAGCTCATTGAGGGGGTCCCTAGATGGAATCAGAATGGATCCCATAGAGCAGTGCCCTTCACACTGCACTGTACACTATACATCACCTGGGAAAGCAAGTGAAATAGTCTGATTCTGGAGATCTAGGGTATAGCGGTAATTTAGTCTCCACATTTAGAGTTACAATGTCCTAAATCAATTGCTTTTTTAAAATATTTATTTATTTATGCATACAGAACTGGGGTACAGGTTAGAGGTGCAGAGACAATGAGAGGATTCACCAGAGACAGAGTGAGGACCAGAACAGGTGGACTGACAAAGTACACTGCTGAAGGGAGCAGCGGGCAGGTCAGGAGAGGTCTGCTGTGCCATGTGGATCACATCTGGGACAGGGATCGAACTCATGCTAAAATGGATTTAGCTTCTTAGTGCTGTGCTTTAATCCTCTGTGCCACCAGGGAGGGCCCTATATCAATGCTTTTTAACTACAGCTGCATTTTAAAGTTACCTACATTTTTTTTAAATAACCAGTACTCCATCTCAGATCAATAAAATCAAAATGAGGTGGAGGGGTGCAGTGAGTAGAGAAATTTAATAAAATTTGGTCAAATTCCCCTCTGGTCTACAAATGTTTGTGAAATGAAATGACCCTCATTTACCTGCTCCATTCTGTAGCAAGCTGCTCAATCCCTCTTCCCACTCTGTGGTGTTCAATGAACTTAACATCCAGTGTCTTATTTCCCATTACATCACTCCTCCCCCTCTACCTGGTTTTCAGTTCAATTTGATAATGTAATATTCATTAATTGCCAAACAAGTACTTTGGAGGAGAACCAAAATCTGTACCTTCTAGTACATTTGTATCTTATTGGGAAAATCTAGGAAATTATTATTAAGTATTGCAATTTCTCATACTCATGCTCACTCAAAATAGTGTTGTTGATTTCCAGGAAGCAGAGACCTCAACCAAGTTTGTGGGAAACGT